CCCGCAAGACTTGTCTTTTAAACACCCTTTTCGCCGTGGTTCTGACCATTCTTGCCGCGACAGTCACCATATATATTATATAAAATAATGAGAAATCATTTTTGACTTCAGTTGGATCAGATTCACTCAAAATCAAGTGAAAAAAAACTTTCAACTCACTTTATAACATATTTAGGTATCTGCTTTGACTTACTTTAAAAACAAATGTCAAAATTTTTCCTTTACAGATGTGTTGAAGTTACAGATTTGCAACAATCCCATTTTGTACAGTTTGTTTACTTTCTGATTCAACTTCCTGTTGTTTGAACTGTTTGATGAAAGTAAAAATAAATAGTTTGAAGAACTTCTCATCTTTCTATTGACACCAAACATGTTCAGGTTCAATTAACAGATCTTAGGTTAAAAGAAATAGAAAATGGGAAATGCTGGTTTGCATGGGGCTCAAGAGGATAAAGACCTCTGAATCTTTAATTGGGGGGTCCGATTTTAAAAAACTAAACATTTCATTTTATAATCCGTACTCAGAGCCTTATGAGTAAAAAGAGGAAAATGTTGTCTGAGAGCGCCAGGGTTCAGAAGGAACAGGAAGTCCTTTAAACACGGGAAAAAGCTCTCAGGTTCATCTTCCTGTTTATCAATGACCTGACGACAAACACGCCATGATCACTTTCGAAACAGGGCCCGGCGGGGCAGAACCCTAAGGTGCGTTCACTGACCTCGGGAACGTAGTTGTCCCTCCTCTCCCTCTCCTCCTCCTGCAGTTTAATGGAGATTCCTCTGACCGGACCCCTCTGGATCCTCTTCATCAGGTGCGTCACATACCTGCAGGAGCAAAGACCCGGGTTTAACAGAGACCAGCTCCGTGTCGATCCCGACACGTCGGCCTCGCTGGACTCACCCGGCGATCTTGTTGCGGAGCTTCTTGCTGGGGATGATGGCGATCTCCTCACACACCCTCTTGTTGGTGTGGAAGTCGTTTCCCAGACGGGTGTAGTATTTCTCGATGATGACCCTGGCGGCCTTCTTCACCGTTTTGGTCCTGACTCGTCCCTGTGGGATGAAAACGGTTCAGAGAGTCTGGAGACAGGCCTGCGACTCATTAATGTTTAATAAATTACCTCTGGTAGTTACAACTCAAACTCCTCCTTTTATTTCTGTAACTTTATCCTCTACAGCTGAACAGGAAGTTCTGATCCTGACAAACACCAGGAGAATGTTCAGGTCTAAAACTAAACTAATGAAATAAATAAGAACTGATCTGAATCTGCTTCTGATCATCTACAGGTTTAATCACGTGGCTCAGCTGTCACCAGAGCTCACTACAGGTGTGTGAAACACCTGGCAGCTCCACCTGCAGCTGGGACACTTTAAACCTGCTGCAGCCCCAGAAACAGAGACTCTTCCCCGCCGCACAGCTCGAGCTGCGACCCGCTCTCCAGAACCCACTGCCTGCCGGTGAGCCCCGGAGCTCCCGGTGGTTCCGTTTACCGGTCATTTTAAACATTAAAACCCGGTGTTGGAGCAGTTCTCCCGGACAGAATCCGAGTCTGCTGCGAGTAAGTCACGGTTCTGTTAAATCGTGAATAATCCCGTCAGCTCGCGCCATCGACCCGAAATACAAGAACCGGGGGACAATCGGAACCCTCCGGGGTTCGGGAACGAGACTTTCGACTAAATGAACCCGCTCACACGGGAGGATTGGATCAGATAAAAAGAAAGAGTTGAAGATTTCACCCACCATGTTGGATCGGCCTGGAAAAAGAGGCCGAGGAGACTTCCGGTGGAAGTTTAAAGACGCCGGCGGAAGTGGAAACACCTGCAGCGCCGCCTGACGGCCGCCGGCTGCAACTACACAAACAATCAACTTAACCTGTCAAAAAAAAAAAAAAAAAAACACTTTAATTTCTTTTAGTGTCGTTTATGAATTATTGGTCGTTTTTTAAAGTAAATTGAGAAAAACGTTGAAATTCTAAAATAAAATTTTGAGTTTTTCCTCTAATAAACCCTAATCAGATCAGAATCTTATTTTAAAGCTTTTACTTCAGTTTCCAGCAGAAAATTATTTAGAAAAAAGTTTAATTTTAAATAAAACAACAAAACCATTCAAAAATCTGTTCACATTTATTTTTAAAAAAGGATCACAGTTTCAACAACAGATACGATTTTTGCAATTTTTGTACTAAAAACATTCAAACAGTCAACTTTTCCCTGAAAGACAGAAATCAACTTTTTATCTCAAACCTTCTGATCAAAAATAAAAACATTTTTCACCAAAACTCAAACTCTGATTTGAGTTTGAGCTCCTACATCCAGCAGGAGTTGTGTTAAAGAGACATTCCAACATTTAAAAAAAACACTGATTTTAGTTTAAATTTAACTCGATTTAACTTTGTTACATTACATCATTTGTTACTCTTACATCCACTCTGCACAGCTTTAAGGCAACACGTCATTTTAAAGCACATTCAGAAACAATTCATGACATTTACATTTAAAATCAAACCGAAGTAAAAGAAAATAAAAAATAATCAGTTTAAATGTTTAAAGGATCATCATCATCATCATCATCATCATCATCATCAGCTGGTGATGAAGAGCAGAGAAATCATCTTTCACAGAATAAAAACATTCAAGTTTAATCAGTTTTAAATGATTTTATGTAAAATCTGAATAAATAAAACTTGCATATCGTCAGGAGTCAGGCGGGGTCTGATGGGACGTCGTCACTGCAGCGGGACCAGCACGTCCACGTAGTTGACAGGAAGCAGCCCCGAGCGGCCGCCGACTGCGCCCTCGTACCAGTGGGCGTCGACCCGGCCGGTGAGGACGATGATGTCGCCCTCGCTGAACTGCAGCTCGCCGTCGTGGCTCGGCTGGAAGGAGTACACGGCCCGGCAGCAGGGCCGGTCCAGAACCGGAGCGTCCAGGACCGGAGCGTCCGGGACCGGAGTGTCCGGGATCGGAGTGTCCGGGATCGGCTTGGTGTCGGCTGGGAAGAACCGGCACAGAGACAAAATGTCAGAGGAGTTGTTGGACTCTTCAGAACTTCTTTCTGATGTTTGATTTAAATCAGACAGAACCTTTAGAACCCATTAACAGGAAGATGTTCTTTGTCTGAGAGTGTCAAAATAAAAGTCCCAGGAAACAAGTAAACCTATTGAAACAAGTCCGTTCTCTCACCGGGCACGAGCCTGCCGGGTCTGGATGGTACCACTGTGATCCGCTCCCCTGCTGTAAGATAAACAGTGAGACATAATCTGAGCCAAAACATTAGAACCACCTGCCTGCATCACAACAGCACCATGTGATCTGCTTCACTTCCTGTCTGACAGACTCCGCCCACTGACATTAACCTAACCTAATCAGTGTTGTGAGCAGTGGTCATAATGTTTTGGCTGATCAGTGTTAGAAGGAGACCTGCAGAAAGTGGAGCTGGTTCTGACGGCTGCTGGTAGAACTCAGCGGTACCAGCCTGGTCGCCTCGAAGTTGGATCTGTTTGGATCGGAACCGCTGCGCCTGTTTGTTACTGGCAGCAGTCAACCTGAGGAGAAACAAACAAACAAGTAAACAACTTTCCACAACATTTACAAACCAATTTACAGAAACTAAAACAAATATTTGTTTGAATCAGAATCAATATTTTTAGTTTTATTTTCTTTTATTTATTATTTCAGCAGTTTTGGTTTTTATTTTTCATTTAATTTTATACTTTTAACAGTTTTGTTCTTGTTTATTATTTCTTATTTGTTTTAGTATTATTTATCTGATCATTTTTAATGACTTGTAATAAACAAACAAACAAATAAATAAAAGAATTTAAAAGATGAAAAACAAAAACAGATTGTCAGAAGGAAACTCTGACGGCTCCATGGTTCTGCAGAACCCGCCTCACCTGGTCTGCAGGTTGTCATGCAGACCCAGCAGGATCTGCTGAGCTTCACGGTGAAAGTCCAGCAGCGCAGCGACCAGAGCGGCCAGCTGAGAGACCCGGTCCACCTGCAGGAGAACATCAGAACCTTTCTGTGTCGGGTTCAGGACGTTTGAGGATTTATACCTTCGACAACGGGAAACAGGAAGTGTTTTATTTTGAAACTCACGTCGTTGTGCAGCACGACAAACATGCTCCTCTCAGCCAGCTCTTTGGATGAGACAAACTTGTCCCGTGTCTGTCTCACGTCCGCTGATACCACCTTCCCTCTTCGTCTCCTCGTGTAGTCGAAGTCCAGCCGACGGCTGTGAACCTTCTTCAGCTGGAACTGAGGAAAGAACAGAGCATCAAAGACCAGGAGAACATCATTCAAGAACAGGAGAACATCATCAAAGACCACGAGAACATCATTCAAGAACAGGAGAACATCATCAAAGAACAGGAGATCATTCAAGAACAGGAGAACATCATTCAAGACCAGGAGAACAACAAAGACCAGGAGAACATCATCAAAGAACAGGAGAACATCATCAAAGACCACGAGAACATCATTCAAGAACAGGAGAACATCATCAAAGACCACGAGAACATCATTCAAGAACAGGAGAACATCATCAAAGACCACGAGAACATCATTCAAGACCAGGAGAACATCATTCAAGACCAGGAGAACATCAAAGACCAGGAGAACATCATCAAAGACCACGAGAACATCATTCAAGACCAGGAGAACATCATCAAAGACCACGAGAACATCATTCAAGACCAGGAGAACATCAAAGACCAGGAGAACATCATCAAAGACCTGAAGAACAACATCAAAGAACCGAGAACATCAAAGAAGAAGCAGTTTTAGCTGCTGAGTCTCACCTTGATCTCCTTCAGCTCAGAGTGCTGCAGCTCCTGAAGCGGGTCCATGAAGGTCCGTTTAACCGACACCTCCAGAACATTTCTGGCCTCGCCAATCTGCTGCAGAGCTCCGCCCACTTCCATCAGAGCGTCACCTGACCACAAGAGATTTGTCAGCGAGGGTAAAAAAGAAGGGAAGGTTCTGCTGGCGGTCCGTCTGAACGTTTACCGAACTCAGAGGGTCCGAGCTTCTGGCCGTATGACATCATGCAGTTTCCCAGAATGCCCTCTGCCTGCGGGTACCCTGTGGTCCTCCGCTGTCCTGTGATCCTGGACACGCTGCTGAGGACGCTCCGTTTGACTCTGTGAGCTGCAGAGAGGACGAGTCTGTGACCATGAGTTATCCTACAGACATGTCAGTAAATAAACAAACAAACATGTCAGTAAATAAACAGACATGTCTGTAAACAAACAAACAAACATGTCAGTAAATAAACAGACAAACAACATGTCAGTAAATAAACAGACACGTCTGTAAACAAACAAACAGACACGTCTGTAAACAAACAAACAGACATGTCTGTAAACAAACAAACAAACATGTCAGTAAATAAACAGACACGTCTGTAAACAAACAAACAGACACGTCTGTAAACAAACAAACAAACATGTCAGTAAATAAACAGACAAACAACACGTCAGTAAACAAACAGACACGTCTGTAAACAAACAAACAAACATGTCTGTAAATAGACATGTCTGTAAACAAACAAACAAACAAACACGTCAGTAAACAAACAGACACGTCTGTAAACAAACAGACACGTCTGTAAACAAACAAACAGACACGTCTGTAAACAAACAGACACGTCTGTAAACAAACAAACAGACATGTCTGTAAACAAACAGACATGTCTGTAAACAAACAGACATGTCTGTAAACAAACAAACAAACAAACATGTCAGTAAATAAACAGACACGTCTGTAAACAAACAAACAAACATGTCAGTAAATAAACAGACACGTCTGTAAACAAACAAACAACACATCAGTAAATAAACAGACACGTCTGTAAACAAACAAACAAACAACACATCAGTAAATAAACAGACACGTCTGTAAACAAACAAACAGACAAGTCTGTAAACAAACAAACATGTCAGTAAATAAACAGACAAACAACATGTCAGTAAATAAACAGACACGTCTGTAAACAAACAAACAAACAACACATCAGTAAATAAACAGACACGTCTGTAAACAAACAAACAACACATCAGTAAATAAACAGACACGTCTGTAAACAAACAAACAGACAAACAGACACGTCTGTAAACAAACAGACATGTCTGTAAACAAACAGACATGTCTGTAAACAAACAGACATGTCTGTAAACAAACAGACATGTCTGTAAACAAACAAACATGTCAGTAAATAAACAGACAAACAACATGTCAGTAAATAAACAGACACGTCTGTAAACAAAGAAACAAACAGACAAACAACACGTCAGTAAACAAACAGACACGTCTGTAAACAAACAAACAGACATGTCTGTAAACAAACAGACATGTCTGTAAACAAACAGACATGTCTGTAAACAAACAGACAAACAAACATGTCAGTAAATAAACACCACATCAGTAAACAGACAGACAAAACACATCAGTAAACAAACATGTCAATAAAGAAACAACACGTCAGTAAACAAATAAAAACTGTCAGTAAATAAACAAACACGTCAGTAAACAAATAAAAACTGTCAGTAAATAAACAAACATGTCAGTAAACAAATAATATGTCAGTACACAAACAGACAAACAAACAACATGTCAGTAAATAAACATGTCAATAAACAAACAATACGTCAGTAAACAAATAAATAGACAAACAATATGTCAGTAAACAAACAACACGTCAGTAAACAAATAAAAACTGTCAGTAAATAAACAAACATGTAAGTAAACAAACAATATGTCAGTACACAAACAAACAGAAAAACAACATGTCAGTAAACAAACAAACACATCAGTAAGCAAACAGCATGTCAGTAAACAAACATGTCAGTAAACAAACAACACGTCAGTAAACAAACAAACAACACGTCAGTAAACAGACAAATAAACACATCAGTAAACAAACAAACATGTCAGTAAACAAACAAAACGAACAAAGAAACATGTCAGTACACAGACAAACATGTCAGTAAATAAACAGACACAAACAACACAAACAAACACGTCAGTAAACAAACATGTCCGTAAACAAACATGTCAGTAAACAAACAACAAAACAATCAAACATGTCAGCAGGGATGGAAATTAGCACTCTCCACTGGACAAATGCAGTAAAATTATGAAGTGGTTTGTAGATCTGAGCGACTCACCTGCCAACATGGTGGGTGTGTTATGAACTAAAAAATAAATAAATAAAACACGTTCAAACTGCACTAATGACCTTTGTCAAAACCTCAGTTTCATTTTTATTTTGCATCTCAGAGCCTGTCGGACGTTAACAAAACATTAAATTAGGGGTGTAAGAAAATATCGATACACTGAAATATCGCGATGTTTCATTTCCCGATACTGTATCGATATTCTAAAGCCCTGAATCGATTTTTTTATTAAGGTTTAAAATGTCAACTTTCTTGCAAACAGTTCATTTTTATGTTGTAGTTCAGCCTCTGACCACTAGTTGGCAGCAGTGAGCCAGACATTTGGCTCCTCTACCTCTTCAGCACCAGAGAGTAAAGGTAGCATTAGCATTGTAAGTAAACATTAGCTTTTCTTTTTTTTCAGTAAGAGGTTTTTATTTAATAGAATTTTTGGACAAAAAAAATCACAATATATCGCMWTRTWTMSMSTTGCTTACAGTATCGCAATATATCGGGATATATCGTATCGTGACCCCTCTGTTATGATATGTATCGTATCGCCAAATTCTTGCCAATACACAGCCCTACATTAAATAACATCAAACAACCATCTTCCAACCAAGTTCTGCTTCAGGCAGGTGATGTCATCTGTGAGGCCCACCTGGCCGGCCCTCCCCCCTGAGAGGCTCGTCATACAGGTAAACATCCGATTATCAGAAGGAGAAAATAAAAACAACAACTTTAAGGTGGCGTTACATGTCTGGAGTTAATCAGGCTGCAGCTAACAAAACCTTTTTTCAAGAGGAACCAAAGAAAAACTGAAAGTTGCAGGTTTTTTAACAGAAAGGAAAGAAAAAAAACCAGACAATAGTGAATTTAACAATGTTTCATCTGTCGGCAAACAGCAAAGCTGAGCTGCAGGCATCAAGAGCAAAAACCTGAAATCAGCTGATTAAAAACAATATTTCTAACTGCCGATGGGTGAATATTACATAAATGTTATTTAAAAAAAAAACTTCATATTAGTTGTTAAATATTTTAACTCAATAACCATGATCACTTTGATTGACCAAAGGAAACTTATAAACTGTTTTTAACCTCTAAAAACGTCTGAAGATCAGCTGACAGCTCTTAAAATAAATAAATAAATAAATAAATAAATAAATAAATAATTAAATAAATAAATAAATAAATAATCTGTTCCTTTTTTCCCCTTAACTTTTCTCTGCAGGCTATTTTTTTTTGATGCAGAACAAAACAAAAACCCAGACAAACTAAGTAACAAAATGAACCTTGTGACATGAACTTTGTCCAAAGTAAAAACAGAAACGATCACTGTGAGACAACAGATCATCAGAGGGATTTCATGTTGTTGAAATCTCACTGAGAACAGAAGAAAGACACACATTCACACTAGTAGAACAAAAACTACACAAGATAAAAGGCAAAGGCTGATTTTATTAAATGAAGGAGATGAATTTACCACCGGTAATTTAGTTGTAAAGGTAATTTATTTATTTATTTTTTCACCTTGAAAAGTTCTCCTATATTATCAAATATTACTAAGGTTAAAAAGCTTTTTTTCCAGCCAAGTAGCCCACCTAAAATAATTGATAATCCACACACACCAGCAAAAAACAAGTTAGGAGAAGTAGAGACATCAAAAAGTCCATCATTTTAATTTTGGGCAACAGGCTGGCTGAACTCTCTGAGACATTAAAAGATTGAGTGTTATTATCTGATTGTAGCACAAACAATATAATTAGGCCACCAGGACCATGAATGGTCTAAATATTACTGTGTTACAGAAACAACAAAATAGTGGCTGGTAAAAAGTTTGAGTGGCCGGTACAAAACTTCTTCTACACTGTCAACCCAAACTAGTAATCATTACTAAAGCTGTTTAGAGTAACTGATTACACAGGTATGTTTAGTTTTTACAATATTAAAAATCAAACAAATCAAGCCCTGTTTACATAAAGTGTTGTGTCCAAGAAAATCCATTATTAACGAACTGAAGTTTTAAAAACTAATGTTTACAAGTAATTAACTCAACATTACTCACCATCATTTATCAGTTTTCATTTCTCATGTTAATAGAAATTATTAAATTTAAATTATAGTCATAATCAGTTTGTTTTTATACGCAATTTTAAACACGTAAAACTGAGTAAACATGTCACGATGTGAAAGACTTGAATCATTAACACGATTCACTGAACAGGGAGGTACCTGAGTTGTTCCACAACAACTGCACTCTAACACTTTAGGGTTGGGCAATATCGGCAAAAAAGTTAATCACGATTAATTGTGGCATTTAGCCGATAACGATTAATTAGACGATTAACCACCTGGAGTCCCTGCACACCTTTATGTCCTAATCACATGACCAATTTAGTGGGAAATATTTTCTTTTCATAAAATCTGTTCCAAATTGTGTCAAAATCACAGACTTCAGGCTACACATCACTTTTTAAATTGTGTTGACAGATAATTAAATTGCAGAACCTTTTTTTAATGTTTGTCATATTTAAAGCAGGGAGGAGCACCGAGCGGACTCTGCCTGGTTGCATTAATCGTCAAGTGCCAAAAAATAATCGATTAATGTTTTTCTGATGATTAATCGCACACGATACGATTATGCCCAACCCTAGTTGTCATTAGTGAATAAAATTACTGAATTACAACAGATCGCCTTTATGCTGTCATGTGTGCTGCTTTTACAAAATGTCAAGATAATAAACAACTTTTGTGAGGGAATGGAAAAGAAAATAAATTACCCATGATCCCTCACAGGCTCTGCACCAATCAAATGAGGCGGTTAGAAAACTGCTGAATCATGGTTAGGAATCATTGAACCAGAAACAATGAAGTCATGAGAAACAAACATGGAGCTCTGATGGTTTTCTTCTGTTGGCAACTTAAAGGTGCATTACTGCCACCTACAGGCTCACCTGTCAGGTTACTGACAAGCCCCGCCCTAAACCAGTAAAACATGTAAATGTGAGTTGTCTCAGCTCTGAGTCATTCACAAAACACATGTTGTTAAGTGAGGCCCGCCTTTCACAAAAACATGAAACAGTTTGTAACAACAGTTTGACTTATTTTGTGAAAGAAAACTGGGTTTACAGTGATACCAGCCACCCCCGCATGACAGCTAACAAACAAACATGTCAGTAAACAAACAAACATGCCAGTAAACAAACAAACATGCCAGTAAACAAACAAACATGCCAGTAAACAAACATGCCAGTAAACAAACATGCCAGTAAACAAACAAACATGTCAGTAAACAAACATGTCAGTAAACAAACAAACATGTCAGTAAACAAACAAACAACAAAAACAAACTAACATGTCAGTAAACAAACAAACAAACATGTCAGTAAATAAACAAACAACAAAAACAAACTAACATGTCAGTAAACAAACAAACAAACATGTCAGTAAACAAACAACAAAAACAAACAAACATGTCAGTAAACAAACAAACATGTCAGTAAACAAACAAACAAACAAAAACAAACATGTCAGTAAACAAACAAACATGTAAGTAAACAAACAAACATGTAAGTAAACAAACAAACATGTAAGTAAACAAACATGTAAGTAAACAAACAAACATGTAAGTAAACAAACAACAAAACAAACAAACATGTCAGTAAACAAACAAACATGTCAGTAAACAAGGAACACAAACAAACATGTCAGTAAACAAACAACACAAACAAACATGTCAGTAAACAAACAACACAAACAAACAACTCTGTTGGACACGGGTCATGAATGCAGGTGGGTCGGTCCAGAACCGGACCAGAACCAGTCCCCTCCTCTCCCTCAGTCTTTATGAACAGAACATGGTCTCTGGGTAAAAAACTGACCCAACGTATTTTATCAGAACTTTATTAGACTCTGAAAAAACCCGGTTCTGATCCCGGTTGGACTATGGGTCCAGAGCTGGTTCTGGCTGCTGTGGTACCTGGGTTTGGCTGGAGGAGTTCTGTGGTTCTGGACAGCAGCTCGGTCAGCAGAGCGTTGAACATCTTCACCTTCTGAAAAGGAGAGAAGCGGGTCAGAGTTCAGAACCACAGAGAGTCTGGTGGGTTCTGTCAGAACCACAGAGTCTGGTGGGTTCTGTCAGAACCACAGAGTCTGGTGGGTTCTGTTAGAGAACCACAGAGAGTCTGGTGGGTTCTGTCAGAACCACAGAGAGTCTGGTGGGTTCTGTTAGAACCTTTACCTGCTCCATGATCCGGAAGTCCTCATCCAGGCTGGTTCCTTCAGCTCCCAACAGCCTCTCGTTCAGCAGCTGCAGAACACACAGGTTCTGTTAGTGAGCAGAACCTCTTCAGAACCTCCTCTACTGAGCAGAACCTCCACAGAACCCAGGTTGTTAGTGAGCAGAACCTCTACAGAACCCAGGTTCTGTTAATGAGCAGAACCTCCACAGAACCCAGGTTCTGTTAATGAGCAGAACCTCCACAGAACCCAGGTTCTGTTA